AAAGAGCCCCGGGCCAGGAGGGGATTTGTGCCAAAAGTGCCCAAATCCAAGCCTTGCGGCTCCAAACGAGCAGCAGCACTAACGAAATCCCCGCTGGGGCTGCCGGAGATGCCGGGCTCAACCGGGCTTTCCTGCCGGTGGGGATGGGGTCCATGGGGATAACGGGAATGCCAGGAGCATCTCACTGCCCAAAAATGGTTTGAATTCCTGGTGGGGACGGCCAAAGTGGCACTTGATGGTGGTCCCCACGGCAGGGCCACAAGCAGCATCAATAAACCATCCTTTCTGCTCCCTCCAGGAGCTGTTGCTCCTCCATAGTTGGTCCTAGCGCTCCCCCCAAGAGGGTTTTGCTCCCCCCTCTCCCAAAGGGGTCCAGCCTCTCTCATCATGGTGGTGGTCCCCGCGGCAGGGCCACAAGCAGCATCAATAAAACCATCCTTTCTGCTCCCTCCAGAGCTGTTGCTCCTCCATAGTTGATCCTAGTGCTCCCCCCAAGAGGGTTTTGCCCCCCGTCCCCCCCCAAAGGGGTCCAGCCTCTCCCATCTCTGTCTCCCCATCCACCACAACCCTCCTGTGTCCCTGTGGTCCATCAGGAAGTCGGGGTGGCCACAGCCATGGCCAGCATCCCAGTGCACAGCCCCAGCCTGGCATGATGGAGCACCCAGAGCCAAGGAAGCCCTGCACCAGCTGGAGGTTTGGGACAGGGGATCCCTCCCAACTCCTGCACTCAGGCACCCCCAGGGTGTCCTGGGGTGAAGGACCTTACCTGGTTGATGGCCCATGTCCACCTTCATGCAGGTTCAGAAGGCTTGGCAGAGCTTGACACCCATCTCCCTGCCCCAGGATACACTAGCGCAGGGACCGTCTCCTCAAGCCAACAGCCAAAGAGGGAGGAGGAAGAAGAGGGGCACCCTGGAGAGACAGGGGACCCTCGGGGACACCCTTGGGCACCTGAGCCACTGGTTTGTTCCTCCTGATGAGTTTTTTGTCCGGGAGTCAAAAGGCAACAAGTTGCAAATGGTTGATGTGGTACAGACCGGTGATGGGAAGAGGCTTTGGCCAGGATGGAGAAGGGACTGGGGGACATCACAGGGGACATCTCCACCTTGCTTTGTACCAACCACCCACAACATCACCACCCCGTTCCTAAACCCACCGCCCAAAGAGCCAGGCTGTCCTGGCCCCCTTTTGAGGCCACCCTCAAGCAGCCTGGCAGGTCCTGAGCACCCCTGAGATGTTCCGAGCCCTGGTGGTCCCCAAAAGCCACGTGAGCAGGACCCTGGGGGGATGCAAGTGCCTGGTGTCACTTGACCAAACACCCCTGACCCACCAACCCAAGCTCTCAACATCGATCCCATGATCACTCCGTGACCATGGCCATGTTGGAGAAGGGCCATGGTGTTTTTGTGTCCCGAGGGCCCCAGCAGCACAGCGAGGCTCTCGTGGAGCATTTTGCTCCCTCTTTAATTGCTCTTTGGCTCCCGGCCACCGATTGCTCACATTCGTGGCTGTTTTCTTTCGGGTTTCGTGGCAGCTTTTCAGTTCCCCCCCTCCTCGGTTTTTAACCATCCCGGCTTCTCCCTGCATCACCGGTCTCAAATAAAAGACCTCGTGCCCCCGGCTTGGGTTGTCAACAGGGAGAACTCCCAAAATCTCCACCTGGGCTGAGGACCCTCCAACTCACTGCAGCAGTGGCTGGAGTTGTGCCAGGTCTCTTCGGCTCTCGGGGGACTCACACTGCCCCTCGGGGGGGTGCAGGGAGCTAAGGAAGCTCTGCATCAGTTGGAGGTTTGGGACAGGGGATCCCTCCCAACTCCTGCACTCAGACACCCCAGGGTGTCCTGGGGTGAAGGACCTTACCTGGTTGATGGCCCATGTCCATCTTCGTGCAGGTTCAGAAGGCTTGGCAGAGCTTGACACCCATCTCCCTGCCCCAGGATACACTAGCGCAGGGACCGTCTCCTCAAGCCAACAGCCAAAGAGGGAGGAGGAAGAAGAGGGGCACCCTGGAGGGACAGGGGGCCCTCGGGGACACCCTTGGGCCCCTGAGCCACTGGTTTGTTCCTCCTGATGAGTTTTTTGTCCGGGAGTCAAAAGGCAACAAGTTGCAAATGGTTGATGTGGTACAGACCGGTGATGGGAAGAGGCTTTGGCCAGGATGGAGAAGGGACTGGGGGACACCACAGAGGACATCTTCACCTTGCTTTGTACCAACCACCCACAACATCACCACCCCGTCCCTAAACCCACCTCCCAAAGAGCCAGGCTGTCCCGGTCCCCTTTTGAGGCCACCCTCAAGCAGCCTGGCAGGTCCTGAGCACCCCTGAGATGTTCCGAGCCCTGGTGGTCCCCAAAAGCCACGTGAGCAGGACCCTGGGGGGATGCAAGTGCCTGGTGTCACTTGACCAAACACCCCTGACCCACCAACCCAAGCTCTCAACATCGATCCCATGATCACTCCGTGACCATGGCCATGTTGGAGAAGGGCCATGGTGTTTTTGTGTCCCGAGGGCCCCAGCAGCACAGCGAGGCTCTCGTGGAGCATTTTGCTCCCTCTTTAATTGCTCTTTGGCTCCCGGCCACCGATTGCTCACATTCGTGGCTGTTTTCTTTCGGGTTTCGTGGCAGCTTTTCAGTTCCCCCCCTCCTCGGTTTTTAACCATCCCGGCTTCTCCCTGCATCACCGGTCTCAAATAAAAGACCTCGTGCCCCCGGCTTGGGTTGTCAACAGGGAGAACCCCCAAAATCTCCACCTGGGTTGAGGCGCCTCCAACTCATTGCAGGAGTGACTGGAGTTGTTCCAGGTCTCTTCGGCTCTCAGGGGACTCACACTGCCCCTCGGGGGGGTGCAGGGGGTTTTAAACCTCCCTCAGGGCTGCCCAAAAGGTGACACCAGGAGCACCCCAGCCCCAAAACAGTCTGGCCCTTTTTGGGGGGCTGGTCTTTTTTCAGTGGTGCCCAGTGACAGGACAAGAGGAGATGGGCACAAACTTGAATGTTAGAAGTTCCACCTAAACACGAGGAGGAACTTCTTGACTTTGAGGGTGGCAGAGCCCTGGAAGAGGCTGCCCAGAGGAGTGGTGGAGTCTCCTGCTCTGGAGACATCCAAACCCCACCTGGCCACGTTCCTGTGGGACCTGCCCTGGGTGGACCTGCTCTGGCAGGGGGTTGGAGGAGATGATCTCCAGAGGTCCCTTCCAACCCTATAGGATTCTGTGATTCTGTAAAAAGGTGTGAAATATTGACCCAAGGTCTGTGAATCATCTTGATCTGCTCAGTTCTGTGGCCAAGGCAGCGCGGGGAGGCCCAGCCCCTTCCCCTCGACACGGTGTTCACTCTGAAGCCTAAGGATGGCACCGGTGCGGCCGTAATACTGATTATGTCATCTTGGACAGTCCGAGGGGGCAGAGCCAAGGCTTTTGCCAACGCTGCAGTGCCTTCCCTTCAACCAAGGAATATCTCATGGCTGCTGAAACCCATCGTCCGTGGGCTTTGCCATGGGCTCCTCTCCAAGCCGTGCGAGAAGGCGAGGAGCTCAGCCAGAACATCCAGGCAAAGGCCGCTGCTGAAATCACCGTCCCCGCTGCCAGGGCCACCCCGAGGTGGGGACAGGGGTCTGGGGTTGGAGGGGATGGACAATCAGGGAGCTGGCAGAGGAAAGACGGAGGCGAAGGAGGGGTAGGGGAGCTGACTCAGCTCCTGGATGTCTTTATTCGAACTCTAGTACAGTGGGACAGGTAGAGGCATGCGTACAGGACAGACGGACAACGGGGGGGGAGTATTGCCTTGATCACAGAGATATGTTAACAGCGTTAGAAAGACACTGACCCGTCCAGGCCACCCCCACCACCTCACCTATTGCTTCCCCTCCCTGCGCCCCCACCGACCCGCTCGTGTCCCCCCCCAGCCACCCATCCTCTTGGGGGTCTGCACCCCACGGTGAGCACCCATGGTGGTGGTGGGGTGATGGTGCAGCAACCCGCTCTTGGCACCTCGAATGGAGCCTTCTAAACCCTGGAGAAGGGTCTTCAGTGGCCGTTTGAGGATGGAGCCGCGGGCGGGCGATGTCTCGGTGAGCGGCTGGCGAGGCTCCGGAGGAGGAACGGGGCACACGGTGCATCCGAAAGCGGGGGCAAAAGGAGGGGAGGGCAGCCCGGGGGAGATGGGCAGCGTGTACGTGGCAGGGCTGGCAGCAGGCAGGGGAGTGGGGCTGCCCCCCAACCTTCCCCTCCCGTCCCCGCTGCTCTGTGGCACCTCTCTGGGGGGGGGACCTGGCTGCCAAACCCCCGCCCCAGCCATAGGGCTGGGAGCTGGAGCTTTGGGCTTCTGAGGTGGGCAAGCAAAGCTCCTTGGGGAGAGCATCCCTTGGCCTCGGGGGGAGCATCCCAGGGGGAATGCAGGTCCCAGCCTCAGGGAGAGCATCCCTCAGCCCTGGGGGGAGCATCTCCCTCAGGGAATGCATCCCTTGGCCTTGGGGAGAGTATCTCCCTCAGGGAATGCATCCCTTGGCCTCTGGGAGAGTATCTCCCTTGGGGAACGCATCCCTTGGCCTCTGGGACATCTCCCTTGGGGAACACATCCCTTGGCCTTGGGGAGAGCATCTCCCTTGGGGAATGCATCCCTTGGCCTTTGGGGAGCATCTCCCTTGGGGAACGCATCCCTTGGCCTTGGGGGGAGCCTCCCCACACTTTGGGGAGAGCATCCCTGGACGAATGCATCGCTCAGCCTTAGGAAGAGCATCCCTTGGCCTCAGGGAGAGTGTCCCTGAGCCTTGGGGAGAGCATCCCTTGGCCTTGGGGAACGCATCCCTTGGGGAAAGCATCCCTCAGCCTCAGGGACATCATCCCTCTGCCTCGGGGAAAGCATCCTTTGGGGAGAGCATACCTTGGGGTACAAGCATCCCTTGGGAAAAGCATCCCTCAGCCTCAGGGACAGCAGCCCTCTGCCTCGGGGAAAGCATCCCTTGGGGAGAGCATACCTTGGGGTACAATTCCCTCCACCTTGGGGAAAGCATCCCTTGGGGTACGCGTCCCTCCGCCTCGGAGAAGGCATCCCTCAGGGCGAGCATCCCTCGGGGAAGGCATCCCTTGGGGACAGCATCCCTCAGGGAAGGCATCCCTCACCAGGGCACTGCCTGCATCCAGCCGGGGCTCAGGAGAAGGTGACCACCTCACCCTGGGGGTAACTGGAAGAGAGGACGTCTTGGCAGGTGTCTGCAATTAAAGACACAAGTATTAAACACGCCATTAGACACTGCTTTCATCAGCTATTTGTGGAGAAATGAGAAATAGGAGAGGGAAAGGGAGACTGAGCTTCCAGGGGACCCAAACTTTGCAGGCTGCTGAGAATGGAGTAACTACAAAGTGAAATGGTCTTCTCCGGAGGAGTAAAATGCTGCTATTCCATCAGTAAATCAGGAAAATCTGTTTTTAAAAAGCATCAGGATGGACCCAGAGATGGAGACTTGGGAAATGATTCTCAGAGAGAAACCAGACATGGAGTCAAAGCGATTTTGAAGGTAAAAATGAAGAGCTGAAGACAGAAGTCCTCCCTGCCACAGCCTTCTCCTCCCAGAAACCTGCTCTGGCCCAAAACTTCCCAAGCCAACCCCAAGCCAGATGTCCCAAAGCCAAGCCTGGTGCATTAATATCCCGCAGTGTTTTTGCTTCTCTCTCTCTCTCTCTCTCTCTCCCCCTCTCATTCGTTATCATTGAATTAATTAACATTGATTGGAGCTCTGAGTCACAACACCGCCTCTACCCATGTGCCAGGACCTGGTTTCCAGGCGAGGGGCCTTCAGACGGGGAGACAGCGCCTGATCCACCCCATAAAGCCACAACCTGCTCTTTCCACCCAGGGATTTTGCTGCAAAACCCAACGCCAGCTCCCGACGGCGCTTTGACCCGGCTCTCCCCGCTACAGATCGAACACAGCATCCAAAAGCATCTCATTTTCCCCAAAATAAAGGTCTCCTCCCTCGAGCAGCGCTGTGTGGCTTGGGTGAGCGGTGCCTGGATGCGGAGGCTTTTCAAAGCCCCACATCCCAGAAAAAAAAAGCCTTGGGATTAAAGTCCCTGAACCTTGCTTGCAGGAGAGGTCCCCACCTCCCAAGCTGCCACGATGGATGGGTTGAGGAGACCCAATATCATCCCCCAGAAGCATTTTGGGGACCGGCACTGGCCGTGCACGAAGCAGCTGCTAAAAAATATCAGTGCTCCAGGTTCAATCACTCCTGGAAGCAGCTAAAAGCTCTTGGCAGGGCTCGTGGCCTGCGAGAAACATTCCTCGTCAGGTCGATTGATTTACCGGGGACACGACTCGGCTTTTAACTCCCATCTCCTCCTCCCCCCCCCCGTTCAAAGCCATTTTGTGTGCGAGCTCCAGCCCTGCCGCCCGCATCCTCCGGGGACCTGCCTTGGAAAGCAGCTTCCCAGCCTCAGAAAAAAAAAAAATAAATAAAAAATTAGCACGACTAAAAATAAATAACAACAGTCGGGTTGAGGTTTATGTTGTTTTGTTGGTGTTTTTGTTGTCTTTTTTTAAAATTTTTTTCATTTGTTTTGTTTAATCGCTGTCCCCCAGACAGAGTCGCCAGGAGAAAATCATCCTCCTGTCTCGGTGCAGGGCTCCTTCCTCCACCGTTTTTTGGGTGCCTGATGATGCCCCACCACCCCCTTGGGTGAGGCAGGAGGTTGGCACACCCCAGCTGTAACCCAGCCCCCCAAAATCCCCAAGGTTTGCTGCCGGGGCGCACCCCCCCCCCCCTCCAAATTTCCAGGAGTGGGCAGCTCACCCTGTCCCACTTTGCCCCTACCAGCATCTCCCCAAAAACCCCCAGGAGCTGCCAGCCTCCTGCTGCTCCAGCACAATGTTTGGGTAGGTCCTACACTAACTCTGCTTTGCTCTGCCAGCACGATTGGTTTTTATTTTCCTTCTCTATTTCCACCCCCATCCTGCCCCCCCCACCCTTGAAGATCTGTTTGCTGAAAGAGAAACCACCAAAAGCCAAAACATTCCTGCAGGTTCAGCTCCTGGGCCACTCCAGGACATTTTCCAAGTTCCTTTTCTTTTTTTCCACTGGGACAGGAGGGGGTTGAAGAGGCCCCGTGGGGCAGAGCACCCCAGATGTTGGAGTTAGACCCCCCCCCAGCCAACTTCTGCATCTCCCACAACACCCATCTCCACGGACCATGTAAAGAAGGGGGGGAATTTCATGCTGATGGGCAAAAGGCAGGGACCACCTGCATCTCCTGAGCTACGAGGACCAGGGATGCTGCCCTGGGGGGTGGGGGGGCTGCACGTCTTCAAAGCCCCCTCTCACCTGGGGCATCCTTGGCACAACTGGGAGAACTGGTCCCGAGCCCGTGCCACCTTCGGGCTGGTTCCCCTCTCACGCTCCGAAACCAAAGGGTTATTTTTATTTTTGTGCCCCTTCTCACCTGGGGCATCCTCGGCCCAACTGGGAGAACTGGTCCCGAGCCCGTGCCACCTTCGGGCTGGTTCCCCTCTCACGCTCCGAAACCAAAGGGTTATTTTTATTTTTGTTTTGGCAGCCACCAGGACACATTCCCCAGCCCAGCCTGTCCCACACGAGAGGAAGAGCAGGACCTGCTCCCCAGAGCTTTGCAAAACACTTTCTCAGCCTCCATTTACCTTTTAATTGGGGAAAAGCGTAAGGATCGATTGCCCGGGCGGAGGTAACGGAGTAACAGACTGGGAGCTGGGAGGCACCTATTTATAAGCTCAACTGCAGCTTATTTTGCATCTGCCTCTGCACTCCCTGTTCCTCGTCAGCATGGGCAAGGGATGGGGGTTGCTATTTATTTTATTTTCTTCGTTATTGTCGTCAAATAAGCGCTGAGGATTTTTTTCCTGGCAGGGGAAGGCAGAACCAGGCTGCTTCTGGGTAGAGCAATTACTCTCCTGACATCTGAACCTCCTGCCCGGCCGCCTGACAGCCCTTTCTATTTTCTCAGCTCTTTCAGGCATCTCCCCAGAAACAGAGCAGTTGTGGCAACAATAACAATTAATATTTTGCACGCAAGCGGGGATGGCGGCGCAGCCTCCGCGCAGCACGGGAGGGTCTCCCAGAAGGAAAAAGGGAGGGAAGAACCTGCTGCTGCAGGATGATGGAGAGGGGGGGACAGGGAAAAAGGGAAAACAGGGAAAAGCTGCTCGGTTTTTGCCCCTTACAGGGCTGCTTTCTGCACCGGGTGTGGGCGGTTACAAGGGGTTATTCCCTGTCCCAAAGTGATCCCAGTCTCAGCAGACAGACGGACGGACAGACAGAGGGATGCAAGGACTCCCAACGCTATCAGGGCACGCGATGCTACGCAGCATCTCATCTCTGATCCCATTCCTGCTGCTGAGCATCGCAGCCCCGAAAAACCCCCACCCCCTGGGCTGCATCCCCAGCCCCGTGGCCAGCAGGTGAACCCCCCCAACACCCAGTGCTGCCTCCAGCTCTGGGGCCACCAACAGCAGAAGGACATGGAGCTGTTGGAGCGGGGCCAGAAGAGGCCCCGGAGATGCTGGGAGGGCTGGAGCCCCTCTGCTGGGAGGGGGGGCTGAGAGAGGTGGGGGGGTTCAGCCTGGAGAAGAGAAGGCTCCGGGGAGCCCTTGGAGCCCCTTCCAGTCCCTCAAGGGGCTCCAGGAGAGATGGGGAGGGACTCTGGATGAGGGAGGGGAGCCCTAGGAGGAGGGGGAAGGGTTTGACCCTGAAAGAGGGGAGAGGGGGATGAGATGTGGGGAAGAACTTGTTTGGTGTGAGGGTGGTGAGAGCCTGGCCCAGGTTGCCCCGAGAAGCTGTGGCTGCCCCATCCCTGGAGGGGTTCAAGGGCAGGTTGGAGGGGACTTGGAGCAACCTGGTGTGGTGGGAGGTGTCCCTGCCCAGGGGAGTGGGGGTAGAACTTGATGATCTTTAAGGTCCCTTCCAACCCAAACCATTCTGTGGTTCTACAATTCTACAAACACGGGCATCTGCAGGGTGAGGAGCATGGATCACCAAAGCTCCCCATGGCACCAGGCTATACAGAGGTGAGGGGCACATCTATATGGTACCCACCATCCTTCATCTGTGTGTTCCTGCTCAATCACAGCACCCTGTCAGGAACAGGACAGCACCTCAGACCCAACACACTCACTCCATCCAATGGGAAACTCTCCTTTCCAGACTGGGATACCAGCACTGAGCTCCCAGCCCTGGCAGCCGCTTCACACCAGTTGACTTTTTTTTATTTTTTTCTTTATTATTTTTTTTTTTTTTTTAAATGCCATTTTAGGACTTGGGCAGAGGCAGCCGGACTCCTATTGATTTATTCAGCTCATCAAGAATAAATCAAACAACCTTGCTTTCTCCCGCTGCTTTTCGCCTTCGCTGGAACGTGCGCTCCTCGCCAGATCCCTAAACATAGATAAGTGGCTGGGAGGATATTCGGGGGAAGTATCGTATATTCTTGCTCTATTCTTATCCTATTCTCTAGGCAGCCAATTTTGGCCACTGTTTGAGATAAAACCCTGGGCTACAGAGCTTTTTAGTGGCCTGCTCTTCTCATCCACCACAGCTCCTCTTCTAATCTTATCCGGGGGATTAACCCCGCCAAACTCAGCCCCCAAAACCAACCCAGACCCCACCTAAAAATAACAACAAACTGCTTTTTCCCCCCCCCTCCTGCATCCCCCAAATCACTTGTTCAGGAGGCGGCGGGGAGGAAGAGGGAGAAGATGCCATGGGTTTCTCAACAGTTTGGTGCCTCCCACTGAAATCCCTCCGTCTCCCATTCGGGGCCGGGTTGTTTTAGAGGAGGTTTTTTTGCACATTAGTCATCCCTTCTCCCCGAGTTGCATAACACCACTGCTAAAAATTGCATCGTGCCCGCTCCATGTCAGCTCTCAGCCTCAGCCCTCGGTGATCCGATGGGGGATGAGATGTTTTTTTGGGGTCCACCAAGGGTTTGCCACACCAGGCAATCGGCTCCGGTGTTTGGATGAGCTGATTTGGGAGCCTGGTGGGAGGGAAAGGAAAGGATGGGATCTCTTGGGATCTGTGGCTGCATCTGCTCCGGGGTTAATCCTCTGCTTTCAAGAAGGCTCAACCCCCAAAGTTTGAGCCTCTTGATCTGCTGTTTCTGGGAGAGACAGGGCAGCAGAGCTGGTTTTTCATGCCTGGCTCGTTCCCAAAGTCAGTACGTGACCTTGGTTAAATCATTTATGA